GATTTGGGTCAATGTGTATTTATGTATAGGGCAAGTACAAGAAAATCCTCAGTAACATGAGTATAAAAATAAAATGTCAAATAATTTGTCAAGCTGATTTAAAAAACAACAACATGAAAATCTTTATTTCTTTGCTAAGAAGGCCAGTTCAAAATGTACTTATTTTGTTAATCAGACATATTCAGGTAAAGCATCCAAATGACACAGCCTATACAAACATGTGGATTTTATCTACCGTGTTTCCCTGAAAATGAGAAAGGGTCTTATATTAATTTTTGCTCCAAAAAATGCATTAGGCCTTATTTTCAGGAGATGTTTTTCTTGTATAAGAATATACATTTATTTAAATACATTCATGTCATCTTCTGGTTGCTGCACAATAGTGGAGGGTGGGGTTTCACTTAACTGGGCTTATTTTGGGGATAGGGCTTATATTAGGAGCATCCTGAAAAATCCTACTAGGGCTTATTTTCAGGGCAGGTCTTGTTTTCGGGGGAAACAGAGTAGCATGGTCTCTGGCTAACTTTAGTGGCCAGTTCTGGTAATTTTATTGTTAGGAAAACATATTTGTTGGATTTTTCTTTTAATATTTTCAGACTCTGGGAGTGAATCAACGGATAGTCATACCCCCCCCCCCAGAACACCAATTCAGAGGCCTCAAGTGCAACGGCTGATTCATCCTAAAAACGAGGACATGTCCTCTCTTTGCCGGACGTCTGGCAACCCTAATCATACGCCCCTGGGAGCGCGAGCATCCTGAGGTCCCACGTGTGGGTCTGGTGTAAAGACGGGAGCTGACGGGAGCTGGGAAATTGTCGGCCGGTGCAGGGAGAAAGCAAAAGTCGCCTGAATCGGGAGCCAGCTGAGGGATGACATAAGAACTCCACGGTCAGGATGGGAATCGGGAAAATACGTCAGGATCGCGACCTGGAGAACTCAGCTGGGGTCTCGAAAAGCCCACAGGAGCTCCACAAACTGGCTACCTCATTCTTCTCATAGCAAAACCCGTCGAACAAGGGAGGGCCAACCGTCAACGCGGTCCTTCAAGATCTCATCCAAACCCCTCCCTGCCCCCAGCCTATTCTTTCTGCCTCTTCCCCATTGAGCCAACCCTGCTCTCTCCCAGACAGCAACTCCGGCTCTCCTGTCTCTTGCAGAGCCCGGGCTTTCGGGGGGAAGTTGAAGGGAACCTCGGGGGGACCCTGCTTCTTCTATCTTTTCCCACACCTTCTCCCCCCGGGCCCCAGCTGTCCCGAGTCTCTTCCAGCAAATCTTTTCCAAAAATTCCCCTCTGGATGCTGTGAGGAAAGCTAACCCACTGAGTTTCTCCTCCCTGCTTTTCTCCCTCCCGCCTTTCAAAGGTTTCCCTCAGCAGGCTCCGTGCGTTTTCCCCGTCCACGCGGCGATTGCCAGTTGCTGGGCGCGCGCCCGGAGCGGAGGTTCCACGTCAACGGCCCACCGCCCCTCGGAACTCCCACGGCGGGCGTGGCGCGAGTTATGGGGCTCCCCGCTAGCTCCTCACACCGCTCCTTTTGATCCGCAGCGGCTGTATCGCTTTCGAAGTTAGTTTCGCCCGGTGACTTGACTTGCTATTCTAGGTGAAAAGCAAATAAAAATAAAATAACAAAGACAGAGACGAGGTGGCACATTCAAGACTGTTTTATTTTAATGTGAGCTTTCGTGGGCAAGTCCGCCTCCTCAGAAATATGGGAAAGATATTTGTATATTATATCTACAGTTGCATTTTTATCTACAGCAGCTATTCTAGGCACTGTTCCCTGGGAATAAGCCTTCTTTGAAGGCAGTTGAGAAACTTGGTTCACCAAAAATATATATAGATAAGGACCCAACATTCTTCAGGTCGGTTATACTACGTCTCGAACAACCTTCAACATGCTGTAGCAAAAAAGCAACCTGGAAAACCGCCTTCCCGTATCTAGCCACTTGAAAGAAGAAAAACCCATATATGTATTCTCGAAACCTATATACTTATACTACTAGGAACAACTTTCCCGCCAAAAGAAAACAAACAAACGCCCACACTGCTCAGAGCCCAATGAACTTCAAACAGTAAAAGGCGCATGCGTAAAATACGAGGGTTTTTTTCATTTCCGGGTTGCGCAACCATTGAGGATCATAGAGAGGACGTCATAGAGGGAGCCTTCGCTTTTTTCAATGCTGGAAAGAATTGGCCGATTGCGCGATCGAGTCTTTGACGCTGCCTTCCACTAAACTCTGACCTGATGGGAATACTATTATTATTTAAATCCTGGTTGTGAAACAGCAGGTATGCCTCTTGAAGTGCTGAGAGGATCCCCCAGGGTTTTAAAACATTCATTACCAAGCAACCTGCAAAAAGTCGATTTCGAGCATTTGCAGCTGGGGCGTGACTTTGCCAACACATATTTTCAGGTAAAACTTTAAAAAATCGCCTTTAAAAGAAATGAGAAATTTTGCATATTCTCCTATGTACCTTCAAAACGTACAGGGACTGAAATACGGAACTACCGAACGAGCAAAGTAATAATCTGTTGCAGAAGAGTCAAGCAGCTCAGATGATCACCTTTATTTTTATCACTCCGGCTTCCTAGCATTGACTATCTTCACGGGTTATGCTGAAATGGGTTTATGTCTGAACTGATTAAGACTGCACCCAGGTATTGAGAGTCTGTATAGTGTAGTGGATAGAGTGTTACTCTGGAATTCAGGAAACGTGGGTACAAATTCTTGCTAAGCTATGGAAACTGGGGAAGGTAGTGGCATACGATTTTTTATACTCACATGCCTTGAAAACCCGACTAGAGCTACAGTAACTCAGAAGAGAATTACCTGTGTGATGGCACATCCCAATCCCGAACCAGCCTTATTTCAAGATGATTGAGTACAGGGCTAGAGTTAAATTTAAAGTCTTGAACATGCATACTGAGTATTAGGAAGTTCTGTTGAATATAGTGGAGAAATGAATACAGAATTGCAATCTTAAAGCACTTTGAATACCTGTGTAGTTCTAGTTGTGAATTGTTTTTGTATTCTGTTTGGCCCATTGTGTTTCTTGTGGCTTACAAGTATGAACTCCATACTGACATTGCATTCTGTAAAAGTTAACATCCTAATTTGCTTTATAATCTTCCATTCCTAAATGTGGGAAGATTCCTCATTCCCAGTTTTCGGTGGGAGGACCATATATAGATACAGGAGCACAGGCTTGGAATTGGGGTGTGCAGAAACATACCAAATTTCTCTGTACCTGAAAACAGGATATATAAAGTGCACCCTGTGCACTTCAAAAGACCTACTACATCTTCAGGTCTGTGATATTACATGTGGGTTTCCAGTCTCTTTTTAAAAATCCCACTAATGTGGAGGCACAAGTGGTTATAATGTGTGAGGCTACACATTGCCATAATTGTGTGACCTATCTGATCAAACTATGTAAGAGTTGTTATATCATACACATGCTCAGTTCTAAGTACAGTACTATAATTATACAGTATTTCAGTTAAGTTTGGTAGACAGAATGTGAGATAACACAGTGAAGAAAAACACAGATGGATCAGCTGGGAAGTCTGGCTTTCCTAGGTTGCTTTGCTTCATCCAACCACAAAGAGAATGGAGGAAGTCAGCCTTGTTTGCAGCTTTTTAACCATTTGAATCCTCTCTTCCCAGTCCTTATTGCCTTGGTATGCTTTCATCTTTCCTTCTAGTTTAGTTCTTTCCTTCCTTCAGGTTATTGTTCTAACCCTAGGGCAGCTAAAACAACAAGCCAAAGGAATGAATTTTTAAAAAGAGCAAGAAATTTGCAGACCAACAGGTAGAAATGTTAAGGTACAGTAGTTTTACTTTAACCATGCTTCCTGGAAATCTGGACTCCCTCCTCTTTCCAATTCCTCATCTTGTTTTTTCCCTTTGGGTGGCCAGCTACTACAACCAGAAAAGAAAGAAGCAGAATTGGAAGGGAAGATTAAAACAGACTAAGGCACAACAGTTTGAGAGAAGGAGATTCAAATGAACACCTGTGTAGTTTTAGTTGTCCTGTACTGCCCTGCTGTTGTAGGAGACTGGAATGGCTTTAAATACAACAGTGGAAACCCCTCCACATTGACTCAAGTAGTCATACTGACTGAACTGATGCAGATGCATTTGATTCCAAGAATGTAGAAGCCCCAGTAGCCAGAGAAAATACTGTGAAGAGGGTGTGTGAGAACTTGGGTCTGATTTGCATTGACTTTTACATTGTGTAACCAGTAGAAGATAATGTGAATCAGTCCATCCCAGTCCCCGAGCATTTCCCACATTATTTGTCAAGGTAGTAACACCTAAACAGCCACACAGGGATTTACCTTTGCCTGATAATGCTCCCAAATGACTGATCCAACAGCTACAAAACACTGTGTAACAGTACAATGACTTCAGTCTGCCCTCCATAGTGCCTCAGTTGGAGTATCCAGATCTTCAGCTTTTGGGGGAGGTCCAACTGTTTCTTTTCTTATCCTTTGCCCCCCTTTCTTATCCTTTGCCCACCCCCCTTAAGTCTACTATATTATTTCCAGTTTCATCTTTTCTCAGCTCAAATAGCTGATTTATTTTAACCCTATGGATTCCAAGTAGGATATGAAAGATTGATTGTGTCATTACTCGGGGGGGGGGTCCAACAATGGCTCCTTGCTCCACTTTGTAGTTAACCTGGTTACCCTTATTCAATCCGTTTTGCACATTTGTTCAGAAACAGAGCTAGTAGCTAATTAAATGCATGTGAAGTAGAAATAAGAAGCCATCATTTTTTGGTCCTTGATTTCCTTTCTGAAGACAAAGTGGTCTTAATAGTTGCAGCCTAACCTTGTTTCCTTGCAAATTTTTAGCTTTAGTAATATGGGGGGAAAAGAATCCTATTGGCTTTATCAGTCATCTATATTGTTGAAGATATTTTGAACATTTTTTAATTGCTTGAGTCCTTAGTAAGCTAGAAAACATATTGATGGCTGGGGAGTTTTTTATTTACCCTGTTTTCCTGAAAATAAGACCCAGCCTGAAAATAAGACCTAGTATGATTTTTCAGGATGCTCGTAATATAAGCCCTACCCCAAAAATAAGCTCCTGTTAAGTGAAACCCTCCCCTCCACCATTGTGCAGCAACCAGAAGAAGATGACATGACTGTATTTGAATAAGCGTAGATGGTTGTATCTGAAAAAAGTAAAATGTCCCCTGAAAATAAGCCCTACTGCTTTTTTTGGAGCAAAAATTAATATAAAATCCTGTCTTATTTTCAGGAAAACACGGTAGGATGTAAACCTGAACAGCATTGTGATAAAAAAAAATTCCAGTCTGGTGACTGAATGAAATTGTTTTTTCTTTTTAAGGAATCAATTTATTTGCTAGATTTATGAGCAACTGCCTTTTTTTTAACTGGGGGGACCACACTGCAATGTAATTTTTCTTTTTATTTACTCAATTTAAAACTGGTTCTGTTTCAAACATTTTTTCTGTTGCCTAGTGGTTCCAGATCAAGGAATACATACTCTGCTGTTACGTCTGTGCCCAAGAGAATATTTTTAGCTTGAGTGCTTGGTTCTACACTATATTAGGGCTGACATATAAACTTTTAAAATATACAAATTGGGACACTTGAGACCAATCTTTCATGACATGTTTATTTCTATTTGATGTTGATGAACTTAATTTTAAAGGCTTTTCGTTGCTAATGGCACTTGGGGATAAGCAAAATTGTAATTTTGTTTGTTATGAAAACAGGCGCTACAGAGAAAGCATGTATTTCAGTTTTCATTAGTTTTTCAGTTATGTGTACATGTGCACAAGCATGCATAGCATAAAATCAAACATTATTTGTTTCCTGTCTTTAATGATCAGTTGTGCCAAGAACTACAGAGGAAAAAATAAGGGTGACAGGACAGTTTATCATACCAAAATTTTTTTTGGTCTACTGCAGTTGGGCTTAACAAATTGAATTTTTTACATGCTGAGAATAAGAATGGCAACAAAGGAGTGCAGCTAGTGCTCTCACACGTACATGTTCATGTTAATCCTTTTGTGAATCCCTTGATAGGACTACTGTCACATTGCCTAACATTGACCATATCCCATTTCACTTAGTGGTTCAACGCTACTCTCTCCTAAGTGATCTGGATGGTTCTTCCCATGCCCTACCAGATGCCTTCAATTCTCAATCTGTTGTTTCTATTGATATTGTCAGCTCTATTTGCTATTTATCACCTCTGGGAGGTGAAGAGAGATAGGTAAAGACATCCCTTTGGCTGTAGCAGTTACGGAAAATTACGTGATTGTCTCCTTCCACCTTTCATGTGTGTGACCAGCAGAAACAGCACCTTAATCTCCAAATGCACATTTTGTTTTCCTACTGCTCCCAAAGTTCCCAGTTACAGTTTTCAAAAGGTAAATAAGATGTCTGCAGAAAGCAAAAGATGTTTCAGTAACATTTTGCAATCCTATATAGGAGTGCTCAAAAGTAACTTTCATAGAGCTCAGACTAGCTTGTCCCAGGTGAGTGGTTATAGCATGGGTTCCCAATCTGGAGGTCGTGATCCCCAAGGAAACATGGGTACAAATTCTTGCTAAGCTATGGAAACTCACTGGGCAATGGTAGTGGCATACCATTTCCTATACTCACATGCCTTGAAAACCCTACTAGAGCTACAGTAACTCAGAAGAGAACCAGTGTGTTTTCTGGGGGAAGTTACTATATTTTAGACTGTGACAGTAGAAAGATCCCAGCCCGTGGTCATGGCTGGCAGCAAAGGCTCTCTCGGGATTAGTTCCCACCAGAGAAGGAGGATTTGGCGACAGCTTGGCAAAGCATCACAAGAAGTGATCAGGCAAGACTTTGCTGTCACTTGTCCTGGTACGTGTAAGAGAAGGAGCTGCCTGGCAGGGCCAGGTAGTTGCTTCAGGGCCTTTCCAGTTGTGACTACAAGGAGGTAGGCAGGAATGAGGATTGTTGCTCTATGTAAAGAGTGCCATAGTGGTGATATTTCTCATTGTGGCTTCCATAGGTTCCCTCTGAAATATATTTAGCTTTTGCATTTCTGTGGCTTGTCATGCTGAACTTTCTGGGAGTGACTGGGTGACTGCTGTTGGAGGCAGAGGGTGCTGGAGTCACCAGACTTTTCCTGGTTTATCAAGATACAGTAATTGGCGTACATTTAAAAGAGAGAGGATCGAAGTCAAGTTTGTATTAAAATAAAAACCTACAAAGTTGTTCCTTCGAAGAGTTATCACTATGGGGAAGCAGCATGATACTGTGGGCTGAACTGGGAGTTTCAAGTCCTTCTTCTGTGTGGGAGTACGTCATTATGTTTAAGTGAAGCAGTTACATACAACAGCAAGCTAGGGAACTTATGTTATATGCCATATAACGTAATGTTGTACTACCCTGAGC